AAGTTCAGAGATCACTAAAATTCGATCTCCAGAACTGTACCAAAAATCGGTTCGGTCCAGTTCGGAGATTTTTATTTTTCGGTTCGATTCGGTTCAGTTTTCGGGACTATCGGAACGGTTCGGTTCGGTTTGGCTCGGTTCGGATATTCGAAGATGTCTTATCATTTTTTAAATTTTTTGAATGACAACCTAGTTATATTAACATTCATCAATACTTTATCATACTAAAGATTTTATTTTTAAATTAACTTTAGAAGTAACCCTAAATTTTAGTTAAGACTAAATTCAACTAACATTGAAAATTTAAATTTCAAACAAAATATAATACAGTTTTATATTAAAGTAATATTTATTAACCTTCTGTACCATATTAGTTATAAGATAAACTAAGCCTAAGTATCGATAACTTTATGTAAAGCTTAAATATTTTAATTTTTTAAATCTTTAACCTTTCATTCTATTAATTTTTTTTTAAACATGAGAAATTCAATTGTAGATCAAGTATTGCTAATCATAAAATGTAACTGAATCTTAATTGTTATTACTATATTTTATTTGCATTTTAAAATTCTCAAATTATATAGGATCAAAGTTGACATAAAATATATTAGTAACACGCATTTATTTTTATAACTCAATTCTTACTTTCGATTCTTCGGTTCGGTTCGGTTCGGTTCTCAGTACGGATATTTATGAAATATCCAGAACCGTACCAATCATTTTTTCGGTTCGGTTCGATTTGGAGAAAGTCAAACGGTCAATGGATATTTTTCGGTTCGGAGTGATTTCGGTTCAGTTTTCAGAACGGTTCGTAATTCTCCAAGTCCCGTGCTCAGCCCTAGTTGGAGCACAGGGTCAACGGTAAGGAAATATATAGACGTCGCTCAGTTGGAGCAGGGGATCGACGGCGAGTAAAATATAGACGTCGGCTCAGCCGGAGCATGGGCTCGACGGCGAGTGAAATATAGACGTCGACTCCGGCTAAGATAAATGAATTCGGCCTTGACATTGATAAATGAATTCGGCCCCGGCATAGATAAGTGTAGTCGGAGGCGAGAGAATGATAAATCGGCTATGTGTGAAGGAGCCGAGACTCATTGGCGGGTGAATAATGTGCCTGCCTGTTATGAACGAGCAGGTTCAGTCTCTGTCCTTTTCCATACTCTGATGATCTCGCTGCTCACAATTTCTTTTTTCTTGGGTTTGAAGGTCCAATAGACAGAAAAAAGGATAAATGATCTCGGTTTCTTTCCTTTGCCCAACTTCATTGATGTTACCAGCCCACAATTATTTCTCTTTGCCTACATTCATCAAACTAAAGAGCACAAAGATAAACACGAGATAATCAAAGGAGTTCGAGAACGAGAATAAAACGAGGAGGTTCAAATGATATTCCTTCCCTCGGGAATCTACGTGCTCAATAGAAATTAGACGAAACAAACAAAAGAACGGCGACTCGAAAAATGTGATGCTGGCTAGACTGAAATGCGACGAACGGCAGCGACAGCAAGGGCTGCGTTCGCCGGAAAAGATGGCAGACGGGGATGGCTGACAGTGGCTAAAACGGACGGCGTGACTGCTTACTTGAAGAACGCCGGCAGTTGGAGCGATGACAACAGGGTTGTTCAGAGGTGGGCTCACCGGACGTGAAGGTGCGAACAGAAAATACAAGCGGCGATTTATATATATATTTCTGCAAGGAATATGAAAGCAGAGGGGGAGGTAACTCGTGCGATTTGTTGAAGAGAGGAGGACTCTCTTGTCTGGTATATAAACGCGAGAAAGAGAGCAAACGTGCGAGAAAGATCTCGCTGAAATCGCAACAGAAATTGATCGAGAGACCTGGTCGTCGCTTGAAAAACTCCCACAAGGATTGATCGAATATCACCTTGGCCAGGGGCGGATCTAGAATTTTTTTTTGGGGGGGGGAACAAGAGCTGTAAATCAAACAAAACTGTCTCCGAACACAACTAGATCTAACTAACAAAAACTCGAGCTCAACTTGTTCTTTTACTTAAATAAACTAATTTTTTAGACACTAAATTGACTTTGTGTATTAACTGAGTCGGGTCTTACTTGTTCATTAAGTCACGCCGAGCTGACTTTTTTATTAATCAAACACGAGTTTGAACATGAGATATTTTAGATTGACTCGACTTAAATAACACCTTCAGAAATGATATATATTTTTTATAACACACACACATATATAGTTTCATTTTATATTAAATATATAAAATAAATAATAAAAATATTGTACAAAATATATAACTTATGGACTTTGGTATTCTAACATTGCGTTTGACATTATTTCACTTCACAAGACTCATTAACAATTGATTCAGTGTTAATAGTTCTTGCGAGTACTTTTCAATCCTATAAATTTGCATATCTTGCATGCTCTGTTGTTTCAATTCTTTTATTAAGATGTCACATATCTTATACATTCAATTTTATTAAATCATAAATTACAAAGAAGAAAAACACCAAATATTATAGATGGAGAGTGAAAATTTACTAAAAAAAAATATAATGTGCCTAGAAATAATTAATAGACAGAGCAATACAATAATTAGTAATAATTATGGAATGTAGGTATAAATTGAATATACTTATAAGTATATATTTATGTAGTAAAGAATAAAAAATGGTAATATACTTACAATATGTATATATAGTAAATAATTAAAAGTTTGGGGGGACAATGCCCCCCCCCCCCCCCCCCCCATCTACAATGTGGATTCGCCCCAGACCTTGGCAAAGATAAAACAACAACAATTGGGCAGATATTAAAACACTCAACTGGGCCAAAGAAATTTAATCCCATTGGGCTGGAAAAATGAAATCAATTAGGGCTGATTTAATTGTTAAAAGGGCCAGAAATAAATTATGCAAATGGACCGAAAACTGTTCCCGATAAATTGGGCCGAGTATCGCACTCCAGGCTCGCTTGGAAAATGGTTTGGATAATAGCAATGCAAATAATACCGAAGGATTTTAGACCATAAATCGGTTGATGAGATTAATAGAATTGAACGACTTATAATAATAATTATAAGTCTAAACGAGATATGTCGAGCAATTACCAGAATAAAATGCAAATAATAATATAAAATGCGAGGAATAATACATAAGTCGAAAGGGGAACTACAATTCTACCCTCCTTAAAAGAATTCCGTTTTCGGAATTACAGAAGACAAACGTAAATAAAATACAACCAAGATTAGCTCGTAAATCCTCTAAATCGAGATTAAATGATTTTAAAATCGAGCGAGCGAACATAGTAAGATCGGATAATAATAACATTCAAGTCTTTCAGTTTAAGCTTAGTATTTAGTATATTTTGCTCAAATATATATGTAGCTTAAGGAGAGTCGAGCCTCCGACAGCTACCATTCATCCAGCACGCACTTGCCTAGCAGTACCAACATATTAGGTGGGGTCACGTACTGAGTGTCCCATCGTCTTTAATTTCCTTACCATGTCCAAGGTATGAATGAGAAAAGTTATATCACCTCGAGGGAGGTCGTGGCGGGCCTTAATGATCCCATCGTAGGTTTTGAGGGAGGCCTTAAGGGGTCTTAATGATCCCCCCAGAGTGTGCACATGATTTAGCGGATTTGAGCTGAGGGTTTTTATAACCAACAGTTAGCCCCAGTTCAGTTCAGTTCAGATCAGATCAGTTCGGTTGCTTATATACTTAATTCATGATATTATTGATGTTGTTTTATTCAGTACTGATTTCTGCGGAGCATTGTGGTTTTACTCACGCCCCCACTAACTTTCTTTTTAGCTGACGAAGTCCAGCGTGGCGAGTGAGCACTCGTGGTGGACGTGGTCATGAGCAGATGCTATTTTTGTGTCGCATGTAATGTCATTTATTTGAACATGTATTATTTATCATGCGTATACTTATTATGTTTTAGCTTCCGCATATTCAGACCAAGTATGTATTATGAGACTCCAGACGTATGTGTAATGCCTTTATCTCCATGGTACCTTTATTAAATAGATTTGATTAGGTTGCATGGATTTATTATGTCTGAATGAGAAAAGGATAAGAAAAGCAGTAAAGTTTAGTAACATCCCGCTAGCCAATAATAGCATTTTGGAAAATAAAGATAGTGTTTTTCGAAAATAAAAAAGTAAAAATTTAACTCTGATTTTTAAAAGTCTAGAAGTAGAAGGCGGGATGTTACAGCAGGGGATCGTAACGGACAAGAAGAGCCGATTTTCGCGAGCTGGGGCATATATGGGCCGACTATCCAGTGACTGAAATCTTTTTGTTCCCAATTGTTGGTGTGCATTAAGAAGAAAATACTTCTTTGATGTTTCCCACTATGTTTTTATCAAGGTTGTCAAAACCGGACCTGACCGGCCGGTTCGACCGGTTCAATCGACGACCGGACAAAGTACCGATCAGGTTTGAGTGTTTGAACCGTTGGGAGCAAGAACCGACTTCGAACTGACCAAACCGGTCCAAAACCGGTAAAACCGATGAACCGGTACCGGTTTGGCCGGTCTGGCAGTTTTGAATTTTGAGTATTTATTTGTTGGTGGTTCTGAATTTTTGAGTATTCACTAAATTCAATTCAGAATTCAGAAGATAGCAAGTTGATTGATTTGGGAGCGTCGAGATTTTTGTTGGCCCAACCCAATATAAAAAATAAAAAAAAAACACAAAGAATTAAAAAAAAAATCAAACAAAAGAGTGCCCGTCCCGTCGAGTTCGACTCTAAAATTCTGAAATCGAAAAATCCCAAATACAAAACCCTATATATCTACATCTCCGCCAGTCCACCTCCATCACTGGCCCGCGACTCCGGTCAGCCATCCGAAATTCTCCGTGCGGTCACATCTCCGTTCGTGAACCTCTGCAACTCCAACCTTATTTCTTTCGATTGTGAACAATCCACGACTCCAGCTAGAATTTGTCCATTCGTGAACAATATCTCCGACGACAAGAACCAACGAGAGAGGGTTAAAGGATCAGCCCTTGCATGCCTTCGGCTAGGTTGAAAGCCCTACGCGCTACGACAAAAAGAACCGACGTCTCTGTTCAACTACAAGTTGTTCCTCTCGGCCGACATTTTTTGCACCTCCTTGTTCGTTGTTCGCTCGTCCGACTAGTGCACTATCGTTCGGCCCTGTTCTCTGTTCAGTTTTCACTCATCCTCTCTGTTGCTGTTATATCAAGCAGCTCTCATGGTCCGACCAGCTCTCTGTCACAGGATCAGAGGTATGGAGGGTTCAAATAATGAAATGCTATCGACACAATCTAGCCGTGGAAAATCTGATCCTGCTTGGGAATTTATAAGTTTAATTTGTGAAAATAGAAAGTCCACATACACTTGTTTGTTCTGTGAGAAACAATTCAAAGGTGGGGAAATTCATCGAATGAAATGTCATTTAGCTGGGAAGAAGGGAGAAATAGCTGCGTGTAAGAAAGTGACGCACGCTGTTAAATCTCGGATGGCAGCACACATGGACGAGGTAAAGTAAAAAAAAGATGATCCTAATTACGATGATTATGACGAAGGGAGCACGGAAAATGCACCTGAAGAAGTGAGAGAAGTACCTAAGTCGATAGATATTTTGCGCCGAGGACAACTCTAGGATCTCAGCCAGGCCTTAAAAGTTTGTTTGCAACCAAAGAGGCAGTGAAAAATGCTATCATGGCTCTAACTCGATGGTTCTACGCCAATTGCATTCCATTTAATGCGACCAAATCTTTTTATTTTCAGCCAGCTTTAGATGCAATTGCTGCCATTGGACCTGGAATAAAAGGTCCTTCATATAATGATGTTAGGGGGAACTTGTTGGGAGATTGCAAAAAAGAGTGTCAGCTTCTCGTTGAAAGTTTTCGAAGCAGTTGGAAGAACTCTGGGTGCACACTTATGGCAGATGGCTGGAGTGACCAGAGGCAAAGAACTTTGATAAACTTCCTGGTATATTGTCCCGTAGGTATGGCATTCATTAAATCTGTTGATGCTTCAGACATGGTGAAAGATGCAAAAAACCTGTTCAATTTTTTTGTTTGATGTTATTGAATGGATTAGGCTTGTAAATATTGTGCATGTAGTGACTGATAATGCGGTAAATTATGTAGCAGCTGGAAAGTTGATTCATGATGAGTATGAAAACATTTTTTGGTCCCCATGTGCAGCACATTGTTTGAATCTGATATTGAAAGATATCTCCTTATTACCTCATATAATCCACCTCGCTTTTCGTGCTTCAAAGATTACTATCTTTATCTATAATCATATGGTATTTTTGTCTTGGCTTAGAAAGAGGTCTGGTTGGAAGGAGATAGTACGTCCAGGAGTTACTCGATTTGCTAGAGTCTTTATTACTTTAAAAAGCATTTGTGATCATAAAGAGGACTTACAAGCTTTGGTGGTTGATAAACACTTTACTGGGCATAGATTAGCTAAAAGTGTTAATGGAAAAATGGTTTGTGAAACTATATTGGATGCTAAATTTTGGCGTGAGTGCCAAATTGCGGTTAAGCTTGCAGGCCCTCTTATTAGACTGTTGTGAATTGTTGATGCGGACGAAAAACTGTCTTTGCGATATGTGTATGAAGGAATGCAAAGGGCAAAGAATGGCATCAAACAGATGTTCGGAAAAAGAAAAAGTGTGTACAAGCCTTACACTGAAATTAGTAAGGCTCGATGGGATAAACACTTGCATCGTAGTATCCATGCTGTAGCTTATTTTATCAATCCGGCTTTCTTTTATGATGAAAATTTTTGTGAGAAACATAGAGTGTTGAATGGATTACTTGATATACTGGACATCAAGAGCCTATGTAATGATTCGATTAAAGCAATGAAAGAGATACAAAATATAGAGAGCGCAAGAATAGTTTCTCTAGGCCATCTTGTTTAGAGGCTGCAAAATCACTTACACCAGGTAAAAATATAATTTATAGTTGTATAATTCTTTTTACTTACATATTGTCTAATTCTTTTATTTTTAATCACGTACATATTAGTTTTTATTTTATTATTGTAGATGAATGGTGGAAGTTGTTTGGCGGGAGTGCTCCCATATTAAAAAATATTGTCATCCGCATCTTGAGTCAAACTTCTTCATCATCCGGATGTGAACGAAACTGGAGTTTGCTTTATATAATCCACACCAAAAGAAGGAATAAACTGGAGCATCAAAGGCTTTGTGTTCATGTTTACATCACTTACAACTTGCGTTTGAAAGATAGGTAAGTTAATATTATTATTTATTAATTAATATGTGCGATGTTTCTTTTGTTGGCATTTATTACATTTTAAACTTCTCTAGATAAATTATAATTTCTATATTGTAGAAAGCATCAAAAGAATAGATCTTATGATCCAATGGATTATGAAAACATTGATAAACTTGATTTTTGGGTGGTAGATGACGATCCACAACCGAAATTTGATGAGGATGAAGTTGGAAACTTAATTTATGATGAACAAGCTATTCCAATTGTTGGTAAGTTGTTTGGTTAGAAAAAAAATTATATCTTTGGTATATTTATTTTGAGCACTTTATGTTAATATGCTCTTCTTTTTCTTTCTTTCTTTCTTTTTTTGCATTTACGTAGATAGCAATGAAGTTAACATGGACATAAATATGCCCGATGCATCCAATTTGATGGTGGAGATGATGGAAATGGGGATGATGATCTTCTTGGTTATGGTCATGCCGATCTTGGATTTGGAGGAGTTAGTGGAAATTACGATGATTCGTTCTAGTCGGTGATTTGATGTATTTTGAACTTGAACTACTCGAAGCTATTTCTTTTTTTCCTTGTAATATTGGATTAGATGTATTTTGATTTTTGATGACTTTGTACTTTGTAATCTGTATTTGTAATGTGGATTGCCTTGCTTTAGACATTAAATTATTAATCTATTGTTTTAGTGAACTTAGATTAGTATTTAAACTATACTCAAAATATTGATTATTGAATTCTTATTTAGAAAAATGTCATTATATGATATAAAATTAATGATAAAAATATATACAAATATAGATTATACATATAAAATAAATAAATAAATTATATATTAATTAAAGCGGTTCGACCACTGGTCCGACCAGTGAACCATTGAACCGGTAGCTTCACTAATTCGATGACCGGTCCGATTTTGACAATTCTCTTCCCACAACAATAGTAGTGAAAACAGCGTCATGTATGACTATTAAAGCCACAATCCCATAAGCCAATATTTCTTGTATCAACTAATCCACGGATCAACTGCAAGAATTGGACCAAAAATACACGACTTTATACATTTTATAAACTTGAATCGCAAAACCATTGGGAAAATAAGCGTATCAAACACAAAAACTACTACATAATACTCAGCTGGTAACAGTATGCAGATGTTTCACAAAATCTGTCTCGTCTGTAAATAATGAAGCATCCATCCATCCACCCGCCGCCCTTTATTTTTGCCAATTCAACTAAAGATCATGATTCAGTAAACGTGTAGAATAATATACATACGGACAGTTACTAATTAACAATGTGCATTTCAATCTCCCAATACATAATTGTACATTTACATCAACAAGAACCAAGACACGTCCACAAAATATCACGACTATATCCGCACACCAGTGAATTAGTCAAGAACCAAAATGATTCCTGGAAATTCTCATTTACCAGGTTGTAATAAAAAGTTCACACCACAGCACAAATTAGAACCTCGGCTTTTTACCTCAATGGCTAGAGGTGTTAAAGACAATGAAGTTTGTCCCATAATGATCACACACAAATATCTATATCATGTACATTTTATCCACCATTCTACATTGTTACAAGAGCACACAGTGTCAGGGAAGATCGACTCGGAAAATTCTCCCATCAGCTACAGGAACCTTAGTACAGTGTTTGCGTGCACCAAATTCCATGATAAACAAATTTCAATCCAGCAAATGTTGTTTAGTTTCATGATAATTGTTTTTACTTTATTCAAGTTGCTGCAAGTAGAAAACATTCATCAGAAATCAAGAACGTCATTGATATATGTGTTGCAAGTCTTCTGCAGAAGGGAAATGAGACCAAGTCAGGATCAGGTGTAGGTGAGAGTGATTATTGATCTAATAACAAATTCGATTTAAAACAAGAAAGAAAAAAATGTTCACCAATTTTCTAGGACTACAAATGCAGCCGACAAGTATCACAAGCATCCCCCAGAGGTTTATATTTCCCTTTCCCTCACATAATACACAACTAAAATACTATTGAAGGGTATTTTCAATTTTGAGAAATAGTCAAATTTTCTGTGATTAGACCAACCATGTATCTTTCTCCAATCATCCTAAGGAAAACTAAATCCACATGACTATCAGTATTGGATTGCAATGATATTAATGGCGGATGGCGGTAAATCGCGATTAGACCAACCATGTATCTTTCTCGAATCATCCTAAGGAAAACTAAATCCACAGGATTTTTACTATTGGATAGCAATGTTATTAATGGCGGATGGCGGTAAATCGTGGCAGGCCAAAAAATCCACCATGTCATATCGCCTATGGCCGTCATTTGATAACACTGTTCGACTGCCATGAAAATTATATCAGGCAATGTACAGAATTTAGGTTTTTGCCTACTTTTAACTGTGGAAAGTAAAAAATACAACTGATTACTGCAAAAAATATGTTCCGATTATCAGAGCGTATTTGAGATTTGAAGTCAACTAGATTAGCAATTTCAAGAATGCACTGATAACCTATATCAGCACATGATAAGTAACCCCGCAAGAGAAAGACACAATACATATATTCAATACTTAATGATGTGGACTCTATTATTTTGACAAAATGGAAAAAAAATAGGGATCACATTAAAATGAAATGAAGGAATATATCAGGGCCATATAACAGGTATAATTCGTGAACAAAGTCTCCGCAGTCTATCAAGTAGTAAAACTAACAAAGGTCTGAAACTAATTTTTCGAATGCTTGTATGCAACAAGATTACGTAAATTAGTTTTTCATCTAATGAACTAAGACTTGGAGCATAATTTCTTGAACTCTGTCAGTAAAAATATCAACTTATGTGGATGAACTTGTATTATTTATTCTCATAGTTGAGGAAATATCCAATTTATTTTCGAACATATAAGTCAGGAACGAACTTACAAAGATAAGATGTGTTTAGAGCAAGGACTAAACACAAAAATGTCAGCTTCTATTTTACTCCAGTAGATGTTCCATTTTTAATTAAAAAAATGCACAACTTTGAGGCACCTCTACATTTATTTTCTCATAGTATCATATAGGATTGTCATGACCAATATCAATTTTCCTTACAGGTGGACAATGGAAATTTTGGTACTTTCTCTATTATTGCTTACAATAGGTTATTCTCTTCCACAGATATGATGAAGTACAATCACAACAATGAAATAATAAGAAGTAAAAGGGCAAAACAACTGCAACAATTTGCTAACATTAGACCTAAGCTTGGATTACAAAAGCATTTGAAGTATCATCAAAGATATAACATAAGAAGGTTACAACAAAAGCTATGGTCATCCATCATGACTACACAATACACCAAATGAATCACACCATTCAGACATAATTCTACCTATATACAAGGAAACAAGCTATTGGGGGTGTATGGACAATTAAAAACAAGCTATTAAGTTTGCTAGTGAGGGATGAGAAATGGGTTTGAGGGAGACCAATTGGGGAGTAACTGTCATTTCCAAGTTTGTCCCTTCATTTGTGAGTATTCTTGATTCAAACTCATAAAGGATATACAAGTATTAATAGACAGGGATTTTTTTATTTACCCTGCTGCAAGATGTAATCGAGCTCCTCCACCTTCATATAGATCAAACTCCAGGATATCATATTTCTGCGAGTGAGAGGTCACAAATGGCTAAAATTAGTGAGAGATAAAGACAAGAAAAGGAGTAACACGGGTGTGGCTGCACATGTGTTACATGGGTGTGCAATCGCAAATGACTACCAAACTGTAATATGTTCAAATACTAATAAAAACTAATTATATAATATATGAAAGGTTTCTTTTCAAAACTAATATTGTACATATAAATTTGCAAAAGATATATATTGATAAGGGAACACATAGGTAAATCACTAATTAAAGAGGCCAGTTTCTCCATATACACATAAACATAAGGACAAAAATAAACTTGAAGAGACAAATAAAAAGTTACTGAAGCTTTAGACACTAGCTAATTAGTTATGGAATCAATTAAGCAATGTATATTCGGAAAAGGTATCACTAAATATATCTCAAGCATTTAATATAGGTATCTAGAATCCATCGATATAGTATTGAAAAGCATTATAAGAAGGATCGGCAGAAAATTCAATCTCAGAATTTAGTGGCAGCCATATACGGAAGGAAGGAATTAGAAAGTTAACTGTGGTTATATTCGTCGTTGAATACCCTTCAAGATGGAAAATATCCGTCGTTAAGTTTTTCTTCTTTTTTTTTTTCAGTTTTACTGTGGTGGAAGGATAAAGGAGTTTAGTTATGGATAAACAACTCATCCATAGCTAAGTATTATCTTTTTTGAGGCATGAGGTGAGGTGCTACCTAGGGTCGAATGAGATTGATAGCAAATTTCTTTCAAAGGTAATGATTTAATTTATACCTAAACTTACTTTAATTTGAGTTTGTTCACAGCGTTTTTTAGTCATCAACAGCAATTTCAATATGTTAGGTTATTTCTACAGCATTTTAGATTCTTTTCACGTTTTCTATTCAACCCACCATCACTTACAGTATTGATACACTCCAAGGATTTTGTGTTTATCAAGTTCTTTCTAAGAGGGGTGCAGAGGGTAAAAAAAATGTGTCTTGCACAAAATCCGTAATCTTCACAAGTTAATCTCACTTTTCACGAATGTACAATGAAATGTATTTTGTATTATTTACTCATATAATCCATAAATTTTAACCGTAATGTGTCTCTGTGCATCGCACCTAGTATATCAATATTAATGTAAACTAAAGAATCATGTTAAACATATCACTAACCAACGTACAGAGAAAAGATTAATATGTTTCCTAATGCAGATTTACAAGCTTGGAGCTAACAAGCAAAGAGGATGAACTACAACCTAAATCTAGGCTTCGCCTAGGTCTATAGTCAATAATCCCTTTCTTGAAATCAAATCCAGATCTTAGGTCTTTCCTTTTCAAAATATAGACGAGATTTCACAATTCCTTTAGATGAATTTTTTTTTAAGCAATCTGGACAGTGCCTTTATCTTGGACAATCTGAACTCAAGTTTGAAAATTCCTAACAGAAAGCCATTTTCACAATGAAGTCAGGCTTTCTAAATATCAGTATTTTTCTAAAAAGCATTATCCATATACATTGATCTAGAACTCAATCAAATCAGTTTAGACTATAGCAACATCGAATCTAACCCGCATGGCAATGCCTCCATAATTATGGGTGAGATGACAAGTGCATCAAGAAAAAAATGCAGCACGGAGTTTCACAACAAACAAGCCAATCAATTCATGTTCCTTGAGGCACTCAAAACAAAAGAATACAATAATCCCAACACATAAAGAGGCGGAAAAAAAGACAAATATAGAAAAATTCAATTAAAAAAATCAAGATGAAGTTCACAAATACCTCCCCAAGCCTCTAGTTGCAAAGAGCAAGCTTTCCCGTGCTTTATTCTTTAACCACACCATAGTCTAAACTAAGCTCCCTCATGGGCGGTATATTCTCCATGGCGAAAAGCATGAGGCGTGGGAAGGATACGTTGGTATGATCATACAAAACAGGCTGCACGAACACATTAGGGCTCGTGCTGCTATTGCTGATGTAGCAGGCCACGTTCCTCATCCTCGACACATCCATGGCAAAATCCAGCTGTGCCACCAATGGGCACGAAGGAAGCACAAAATCGGCAAAAACTTCCGAAAGATTCCCCCACTCCCTCCACCTCTCACCAAAGCAACCCGGATAAATTAAACTATCCCCATTCATCGTGACTACTTTCGCCTGCTACCGTGTGAGGACCACTCCAGAGTACTCACACACAAAGGAACCTGCGGGAATAAGATCCAATGACCTCACTCCCCAGTTTGTCTCCCTCGAGCGGAAAACCTCGAAACTATTCCTCACTCCTTTTTGAGTCACCCGGTTACGGCATTCCGGGGGGCACTGGCAGTGGGGGCTGCATTCGAAAACCAGCGGCTTTCCCCGCACAAGAATGCCGCTCGAGTGGTACGCGAATTCCCCACCGTTTTTCACCCAGCAGAGGCAACCCTCCGTGCAGCCCCTAGCACAGGCACACCCGGCAGCAATCCCCGAGTCATAGACTGAGGGTGGGAAAACAGAACACGCGAGATATTCGTAATGAATGGGATCATGATTAGTGTCCACGTCGTTGAAAAACAGAACCGGGAAGTTCTCCTTCTTTGCCGAGAGATCGAGGGAGAGAGGTTGTGTCTTTAAGCTCATGGCAAATCTCATCAAAGAACTTCCCATTTCGTCCTGATTCTGATTTCGCACGAGTCGGAACTTGTAAATACCATACCCTGACCGGCCCACGTCGAACCAGGTCTCGACAACTCTGTAAAGACCATCATACACATACACCTTACCAATTGCGCTGCCTTCGTACTTGAAGCCGCGGATTACTCGCACCTCGATTCCGTAATGCATGCTCCTCTCCATGGCCAAGTTTCCGCATTCCAGCCTCTGGTGCTCCACCTGCTTGCCGTGCTTGTCCTGCCCACCGTGACCACTGTACACTATCACGTCTCCAGCATCCTCGTCGTCTTCATGTTCTCCAGAAACGATAATGCTTGTGGCAATCGGCTCTCCATTTAAGCTGTGTCTGATGGGGACGTAGTCGATCCCGGCCTGGGAATGCCCGTGTAGCCCCACGACACACATCTCAATCCTGACAAAGAAGACGTCCCCAATCTCGACCCCAGGGATAGTGCCCACTACCCGCTTATCACGGTTCAGCCACAGTCCACGCTCTCTCATCACGGCCGCCGCTTTCAGGTGGGCCTTCGTGCGGCGCTTGGGGTGGTTGGGGAACACCTCCCGCCGCCTCTCGTCCTCAGCGACTGCAAAAACGCAGAGTGATTCAAAAATCATCCGGGCCCGGCGAATCGACCCGCGGAAATATCGGGTTTCCTCGGGCTTCAGATCTGAGACCCGGACCATCTCCGACGAGCGAATTGGGTACTTCCTGATGCCGCGGGGCGAGGGGGCGGGGCGAGATAGGTGGGGCTCGTTGCCGTCTGGCACGGAGATTATGGCGAAAGGGTTCGGGTCGGTTTCGGTCCGGGTTGGGCTGCCGGCGCGTGGTTTTTTTCTGCGCCCGGTGGCGGAGAGGAACGTGTCTGAGAGGCGGTCGAAGTCGCAAGATAGCGGCAGCGTGTTGGGGGTGGGGACTGGGAGGGAGGAGGAGAGGTGGTGGAATGAGGGCGGAGATGGTGAGGATTCGTCGAATGGTTCAAGTTTAGGCTCTATTTTGGGGACGAGAAGGGCGGGGGTGGAGGTCGAGGTTGAGGGGAGGTCCGGGCGGCCGGGAAACGGCGCCGTGTAATTGGTGGAACCCATTTCCCAGGTCTTCTCGATTGCAGGGTTGTCTTTTCGTTTTCTCTTATCTTATGTAGTGTGTTTTGGTTTCTGCTGTTGAAGAAGGGTTGAAGGATGAAAAAATAGCGGAAGGGAGAGAGAGAGAGGGGCTAATTATGAAGACAGAGAGAGAAGGGAGTGANGGCGGGTTTGCGGGTTTTTAATTTTTTTTTTTTCTTTTTTTTTGTTATTTTAATGTATATTAAATAGAAGTTTTTTTGAGTCAAAATAGAAGTGAACTTATTAGTGATGACTGTTTTAATCGGCAGTGTCGGTTTGTATTGGTGATGGTAAGAGACATGAATTGACAGAAATGCCCTTGGGGAAATTGGACTTTAGTCTGTAGGTAATTGGGGGAAACAGAAGGTTACTGCTCAACTAGAGGAAGAAAATCAACAGGTTACAGCTCAGGTAGAGGAAGCCAGCCTCAAGTGGCCCCAAGGTGATCAATGACAGCCATGATGTGGAATTGTAGAGGTCTGGGTGGACCCTCTACAGTTCCCCAGATAAAGGAATCTTGGAGATTCCACCATCCAAATTTTGCTTTCCTTAGTGAAACCAGAAAATCCAAAAAATTTGTAAATACTGTTTGCAGAAACTTGGGTGTTGATGACAGATGGGTAGCTTCTGATCCAATTGACAAAAGTGGAGGATTGCTCCTTTTCTGGAATTTGGAAGTTGAAGTCCTTCAAACCATCTGCCATCCTTTTTGTATTGAAGTCGAATATAAACTTAACAGCTTTCAAGATTCTGCTTGGTTCATTTTTGTCTATCTTAGTCCTTGTAAGAGAACCAGATCAGAGCAATGGCAATTCCTACTACAGTCTAAAATCAAATGGGGTCCTAATTGGGTCATAGCTGGTGACTGGAATGATATTCTTTGCACTGAAGAAAAGAAGGGAGGCAGATGGAGGTCTGAAAATAGCTTCTGGGGTTTTAGAACTTGCATTGCAGACTTGGGTGGACAAGAAATTTCCATGGAAGGTCACCCCTTCACTTGGGGGAATAACAGACTGGGAGAAGGCTTCATAGAAGAAAAACTAGACAGAATGGTGGCCTCCTTGTACTGGCATGCTCAACACCCCACAGCAAAGGTTCTCAACACCTTTAAGAGTGCCTCAGATCACAGTCTCTTGTTCCTACAAACTACTACTCCTCAAAATCACAAGAAAAGGACTTTCTGCTTTGATAAAAGATGGATAAAAAAACAAGGCATCAGAGAAGAAATCCAAAAGGCATAGGACCAACCAGTCACAGGCTCAGCCATGTTCTCCCTATCTGAAAAAATCAAATCCACAAGAGTGGCTCTTCTGAAATGGAGCAGGACTTTCCAAACAAACTCTGCAGTGACTATTGCCCAACTTACATCTGAAATGGCAAATCTGAGAGAGCAAGGTGGAGACAGAGATTGGGACAAATGGGCACAACTTAAGCACAAACTTGATGAAGCATACAAGGAAGAGGAATCCTTCTGGAAGCAAAAATCAAGGGTCTGTTGGCTCAAAGAAGGAGACAAAAACACTCGATTCTTTCATGCTTATGTACTTCAAAAGAGAAAGCTGAACTCCATTGTCAAACTCATTGCTGCTGACAATTCCATTTGTGACACCAGAGAATCAATCACAGGCTGCATCTCAGACTATTACAATAACTTGTTCACTTCAGAAGGATCTGTTGATATGGGAAACCTTCTCAGCTATATTCCAGCCTCCATCTCCCAGGATCAAAATGAATCTCTCTCTGCCCCAGTTACTGAAGATGAAATCCAGAATGCTCTCTTCAGCATGAAACCTGACACAGCTCCTGGCTGGGATGGTATACCTCCTTCCTTCTTCCAATCCTTTTGGAGTATTGTTAAAAATGACTTATGCAAAGCTGTCCTGTCTTTCTTTACCTCTAACCACTTGCTCAAAAACTGGAACCTCACCTTAATCTCTCTCATTCCTAAATGCCAGTCTCCTATCTCTGTTGGAGACTACAGACCTATCAGCTTGTGTGAGGTGATTTACAAAGTTATTTCAAAAATTATTGCTGAAAGACTCAAACCATGTCTCCCCTCTTGCATTAGTAACACTCAATCGGCCTTCATCCCTGATAGACAACTCCTTGATAATGTGATCATAGCACATGAAGCCTTTCATTTCCTCAGTAGACACAGAACAGGTCCTAAAAGATACATGGCCCTTAAGCTAGACATGTCCAAAGCTTTTGACCGCATTGAATGGGCCTGTATCAAATGTATTATGGACAGAATGGGTTTTAACAGAACTTTTGTAACCTGGGTCATGGCATGTGTGCAGTCCACCACTTTCTCTTTCAAACTTAATGGACTTCCTGCTGGTTATATAACACCTTCTCGAGGAATAAGGCAAGGGGACCCCTGTAATGCCCCGTTTATTTGTGGATTATTTGGGATTTATTTTTATTATTTTTATTATTTTTATTTGCTATTATTATTGTTAATTGGTAATTATATTTATATTTTACTTTATTGAATGCCAATATAATTATTTATTTGTCAAATGTGATTAAATGCTAATTGTGATTTGTCTAATTGTTTAGATTGATTTTTGTGATTTATTAAATTATTAATGTGAATAAATGTGTATGTAAAATATATATGTTTATTTTTTCGGTTTATTTTTATCGCGCGTTTGCCTTCGGAATCGAGCCCGATAATTTTGTTGTAATCGAATCGGGCCTGAATATATCTGTTTAAAATTTTATTTGAGCCCGTGAGCTGTTTTGTCGTCCCAACCGGCCCAAAAATCCTATTGGCCCAAGTTTCTCGGGCCCGGCCCGACAGATTTTCCCATCTCCTTTTTTTT